CCCGCGGAGGACGTCGTGGAGCTGGACTTCTCCATGCAGCGGCCGCGGCACCTGCTGAGCCCCGCCTTCCTGTCCTTCACCATCGACGCCAACCTGGCCACCGACCCGCGCTTCCTCACCTTCCTGGGGTAAGCGCCCCCCAGGGTCCGCGGCCCCTGCCCCCTCGCCAGGGCGCTCCTGCCAGCCACGCTCGGCTCCTCGAGCTGAAATAACTTCACACAGGTCCGGGGCATCTCCCCGCCAATCAATCAATCAACCTCGGTCGCTCGCTCGCCCAAACCTTACTCAGTCCCATCCTTCCTTCCTTCAGTCCAGAGCAAGAAATGACTGAACAGGTAACCAGGGCTGGGCGTGAAGGGGACGCCGCCGAGCGCACCTGGGAGGCAGCTGGGAGAGCTTGGATTGGCTTCCTAGGGAAGGGACCCGGCCGTGCCTGGGAAGATGTCACAAAATCAGAGTCCGCGGAGACCAGTCAACGTGATTCCTTCGCTTTAAAATGCAATGTGAAGGTCTACGTAGTAAATCACAAGCCCCAGGAGACTGGTAAAAGCTCCGGTGGAGTAGTGGTTAAGCTTTGGGCTGCTCCCCGAAGGGCCAGCACTTGGACTGGCCGCCCTGCAGGAGAAGGAGAAGACTTTCTGTGCCCAGAAAGAAAACCTTGGGGCCAGGTGTCCCCCTACAGGGTCCCTATGAGTTGTTTTTTTTTTTTTGCAGGAGACTATTGCAGTAAGTGACTTATATTAAAAAGGTGGTCTTCCAAATAAGACTGCCATGTCCCCCTTCATCAGAGGAGGGAAGAGCTGGGTGCCAGGTTCCAGGACCCCCTACCGAGTCGGCGGACCCCAACTGGGGGCTGCAGGGAGAGGTCTCAGGGGCGCCTCCAGAGGCGGACTCCTCTCAGCCAGCTCAAACAGAAGAATCCTGTGCCCACACCTCTGCTGCCATCGCTCATTTCTGTGCCGGGAGTCTGCAAATAACGCAGGAAGCCCTGAGCGACGACGTGCTGGGAAGTCCTCACCTTTGGCTCGGTTGATTTCTCAACTTTGCCAAAGCGGACTGACCTGGTTTTCACAGGCAACTCCCAACCTCAATTCCTTCCTGGGTAGAATGCAACACAATTGCTACCGGGCTCGGAAGTACTTTGCACAGCGTTGGACAGAGTTAACCTTCAGGTTTAAATTGTCGAAGCCCTTGGTGTATCTCTAGGCTATGGTGAGAATTTACTGATGGTGAGAATTTACTGACAAGTCACCCGATCTCTGTGCCTGGTGGCCTTGGCGGGCACATCTCTTGGGGGGTGGGGGGGTCTGATCTTTCACTTAGGGGTGGCAAGTTGATACCAGGCGGTAACAAGCAGAGGCACTGGGAAATTGCTCAAGAAGTGCAGGTCAGAGCTGAGGACTGCTAGCCTAGCTTAGTGGTGGAGGGCTTGGGAGGACTGCTAGGGGTGGGAATGGGGGTGGGGGTCGGGCAGGGGTGTAGTGCGGTACAGGAGGTAGGGGTGGGGTGGAGTGGGAGTGAGAGGAGAAAGGGGGAAGCAAAGGTGGGCGTTGTGCACAGAGGGGTTCAGTAATGCCCCCTTTCTGAATTGTGGGAGGCCCTCTTCTGCTATAAAGTTGACTGCTGGGGAGCCAACGCTGACTCATAGGAACCCCACAGGGAAGGTAGAACTGCCCCTGTGAGTTTCGGAGGGGGAACTCTTTATAGGAGCCGCTGGCAGTTTTGTTGATTTGTGGTCAACAGCCCAGTGCATAGCCACCATGCCACCAGTGCTGGGGTATGCTCCCCCCACTCCTCCACCCTGGGGAAGGCCATTTAGGGATTCCTTTCTGAAGAAATCAGACTGCACCTTTCAGGGGCTAGGCCGATCACAGTGCAGTCGAGCTCGCACTCCGGGCTCCAAACACACACACACCTCCGCAGTTTAATTTGCTGTTCCTAATCCCGCCTCTTAATATCTGGAAGCACGTCCTTTCTTTCTTCTTTCCCTAATCCCCTCTTAATGTGTTAAAGACTGGAGGATAATGAAACATCAAGAGAGGAGAGCAACTAACTAGATTATCTGGTTTACAGTAAACCAAACAAACAAACAAACACCCGACTGCTGTCCAGTCGGTTCTGGCTCACAGTCAAGCGGGTTTCCCGAGATTGGAAATCGTTAGGGAAGTTTGGCCCCCCGCAGCTCGTTGTCTAACTGCCAGCGCCACCTGGGCCCTTGGGGAAGTGGTTACGAGTTGGGCTGAGATCCTCATGGTCCGCAGTTTGAATCCAGAAGCTGCTCTTGGGGAGAAAGACTAGGCTTTCTACTCCCAGGCATAGTTACAGGCTTGGAAACCCAAAGCAGGGGTGGCTGTGAGTCAGTATCAATTCGATGGCAGTGAATTTGTCTTTGGAGGCTGACAGTAGATCCTTCAGAGGCCCCCACATCCCACATCCCAAACCCAGGAGCATCCGAAAGCACTTCTACATGTTCACCTGACACCTGAAGGCCAGCAGTTCAGAGAACCCAGGAGCTCCCTGACCTCATCTCAGACCAAGCCTCCAGATTCTGGTCTAAGGCTCTATCTCCCTAGTGTGGTTAGCATTGTGCCCAGGGTAGAAGACACCAGATTTAACTTCCATCTGAGAAGACCGTGTCTATCCACAGTAGCAAGAATAAGACGGGGCCGTTGTCCTTACAGTCCCTCAGAGGTGGAGACATTTGAGCGACCCTTAGATGTGGTAAAAGCTCAAATAATAAGAAAGGAGAAGACAGTTAAAACTGATGGCGTTTAGCAAACCCTGTCATTAGCAAGACCCCGTAGGAAGCACCCCATAGGTGATCTTTGTCACCCAACAAGGAAGGGCACACTGTCATCAACCCCATGTTAACAATGAAGAATTTGAGGCTCAGGAAAACTGAATGACTTGCTCGTGGTCCTACAGCCAATAAATGCAGGGTCCAGAGTTTGAAGCCGGACGGTCTGGTGCCAGAGATAACAGTACACAGAAAGAAAGCAAAGCAAGTTATCTACTTATCAATTATTACTTCAGAACAGAACTTTAAAATGTCATGTACATATCCCAACATTAGCCAATTCAACATTTAATGTATGTAATTGTCAAAGAACATGGGATAGGGTCTGGTAGAAAACGGTTTTTCTGGAGACAAATTGAGAGGATAATATCATGAAAAGAAGTGCTGGCAAGAGGGAATCCCGGCCTAAACCTCCAAGCCACTTCAAAGGAGGCCGAAGTGGATTTAATCAGATGGCATGATTCTGCCTTCCCACATAGCAAACAGGTTTTGTCACATTTGCAACTAGGAAACAAAATACACAAAGCTTTTTGCAGCAATGATGGCCAAATGGAAGACTAGAAATAACCACCAACTTGCCCTCCTCCCAGAGGTAGCTAAGCGACAAACTCATCAAAGCGCTCCCTAAAACTATCGGTGGAGCCCCAAAGAGATGTTGGGAGGCTACACAGCAGAGCTGCCCAACAGAAATAACATGTGCACCCCATATGAGTCACGTAGGTGACTTTACATTTTCTAATACCCATAGTTTAAAAAGTACAGAGAAACGGGAAGTTAGTTTTAATACTATAGTTTAATATATAGTGGCGTAGTGGGTAACACTTTAGGCTGCTAACTGCCAGGTCAGTAGTTCAAAACCACCAGCTGCTCTTTGGGACAAAGATGAGGCTTTCTACTCCTGTAAAGAGCTACCGTTTTGGAAACCCACAGGAGGGTTTTGGAAACCCACAGAGTTGTACTCTGTCCTATAGGGTCACTATGGGTCAGAATTGATAGCAGTGAGTTATTTTGTTTGTTTTCATTTCTAAAAATATCACTATATCATTGCAATGAATGATCAATTATAAAAACATATTTATGAGATACAGAAAGCTCCTCCCTCGCCCCGCCCCCGGCCCAGCCCCAAATCTTTGAAACCTAGTGTTTTACACTCAGGTTGTTAGGTGCCACTGAATTGGTTCTAACTCAGAGAGAGTCTGCACCCCAGAATAAAACCAGGCCTGGTCCTGCGCTGTCCTCGTAATTGTTGTGTTTAATCCCATTGTGGTAGCCACTGGGTCAGTCCATCTCATGAAGGTCTTCCTCTTTTTCACTCACCCTCTGCTTCACCAAGCATGATGTCCCTCTCCGGGGACTGGTCCCTCCTCATAACACATCCAAAGCACATGCGATAGAGTCTTGTCACCTCGCTTTTTAGGAGTATTCCAGCTGTGCTTCTTCCAAACATATTTATGAGATACAGATTCGCCCCGTGATAAGACATCTGATTTCTTGACTGCTGTTTGCGATTCAGACTAGTCACATTTCAAGGACTTGGTGGGAGTGGAAAGAGGAGTAAAAATGTGAGTATTTGGCCTGGGATTGTTCTCAGTTCATTTCTCTTTCGCTGTGGTTATTTGTGTTAGCAACAGGCCATGAAGGAGAAAACAACAGGACTGACGGTTCCAGGGGGGACATGGGAGAGAGGGAGGTGGGGAAAAGGAAGTGGTGTTAACAACCCAGTGACAAGGGAACAACAGGTGATCTAAAATTGATGGCAAGGAGGGTGTAGGAGGCCTGGTAGGGCTTGATCAAGGGCAATATAACCAAGAGGAATTACTGAAACCCAAATGAAGGCTGAGCATGATAGTAGGACAAGAGGAAAGTAAAAGGAAATAGAGGAAGGAACTAGGAGGCCAAGGGTTTTACAGAGGTCTTAATACAGGCATGTACATATGTAAATATATTTATATATGAGGATGGGGAAATAGAGCTATGTGAATATATTTATAGGTTTAGTATTAAGGTAGCAGATGGACATTGGGCCTCTAACCAAGTACTCCCTCGATGCAAAAACACTATGTTCTATTAAACTGGTATTCCATGATATTCACCTTCCCAACACGATCTCTGAAGACAAAGTGGGTGCATAAGCAAATGTGATGAAGAAAGCTGATGGTGCCTGTCTATCAAAAGATATAGCATCTGGGGTCTTAAAGGCTTGAAGATAAACAAGCAGCCATCTGGCAGAGAAGCAA